TGCTGTCAGAGAGGAGCAGGGGGTCTGGGGGGGACAGGAGAGCCAGCAGCCTGCGCACGTGCCGGGAGAAGGTCCCGCTTGTGTCCTGTGGCTCCTTGCTGCCTGTATCATCGCTGAGCAGGGATGTGAGCTCCTTGATGGTCCTCTCCACCAGCCGGAAGGCGTTGTCCTTGGAGGGGCTGACTGGCTGATCCCGGGGGTGTCTGAGATCCCTGTCCTTGGCTGCGTGGAGCAGCGGGAGCCGCTGCTGCAGGAGCTGCAGGGCTCGAGCCAAGCCCTGCCGTCGAGGACAGTCGCCCAGTTCCTCGAGGCGCTGTGCTGCCAGGCTGCTCAGCAGGAGCAGGGCCTCGGAGAAGGCCTGGAAAGCAGCCAGCGCTCCTGGCCTGTCCCCTGCGCCCTGCAGCACGCTCAGGCGCTCCAGAAGGCAGCTGGCAGCCTGCAGGATCCTCCGCTGCCCAGCAGCATCTCCCAGCCGAAGGATCTAACCAGGAAGGGAACAGCAGGAAAACTGCTCAGAGAGGAAAAGGCTCAGGAGCCCCTGTTCAGTGGTTGATCCCTTGGGCAGCCGAGGTGGCACCACAGACCCCCAGGGAAGGGCTGTGTTTTGCTCAGTGGGTATCCCCCAGTGAGGAAGCCACCATTGCTCCATCTACAGCTTCCCCAAGCCCCAGCGCTGTGCTGCTGGAGGACAGCTCCTGTCACAGAACCCCAGCCTGGTTTGTGTTGAAGGGACCTTGAAGCTCCTCCAGCCCCAACCCCTGCCACAGGCAGGGACCCCTTCCACTAGAGCAGCTTGCTCCAAGCCCCTGTGTCCAACCTGGCCTTGAACACTGCCAGGGATGGGGCAGCCACAGCTTCTCTGGGCACCCTGGGCCAGCGCCTCAGCACCCTCACAGGGAAGAGCTTCTGCCTAAGAGCTCAGCTCAGTCTCCCCTCGGGCAGGTCCAAGCCATTCCCCTTGGCCTGTCCTTACAGGCCCTTGTCCCAAGCCCCTCTCCAGGTTTCCTGCAGCCCCTTCAGGCACTGGAGCTGCTCTCAGGTCTCCCCTTCAGGAGCCTTCTCTTCTCCCGGCTGCCCCAGCCCAGCTCTCTCAGCCTGGCTCCAGAGCAGAGCTGCTCCAGCCCTCGCAGCAGCTCCATGGCCTCTCTCCAACAGCTCCATGTCCCTCTTGTGCTCTGTTCCCTTCTATCCCCACCCTCACCCCTGTCTCACTCCAGCCCCATCCCCTCACCGTTACCTTCGCTGTCTCCATTAGGACCCCCTGTGCAGCCACTGCCAGCTCCTCCCTTGGGCCGGGGCTGTGGGGCTGCCCCTGGAGCTTGCAGGCTGCCAGCAGCACCTTCCTCCCTGCCAGCACCAGGGCCTCGGCCGCAGGATGCGTCTCCTCCTCCAGCAGCTCATCTCCAGACTCCTCAGCCAGCCTGGAGCAGAATCCACCGTGCTCAGCCCTTTGCCATCCCGTGAGTACCTCACCACGTCCCCCCCCGGAGCACACATCCTTGCTCTGTCCCAGCTCCCCTTTTCCATTCCCAATGGAATTCCCCCCATCATGTTCCCCACCTCTCCAGTGGGATGCAGGCAGGAGGGGCAGGCTTTCTTCCCACTCCTTTGCCATCCCTTCCTGCCCCTTCCCAGCCCCAAATCTACCCAGGGAGCGTGCCCCAAACCCACCTCCTTGCAACAGCAGCGAGTTCCTCTGTGGCTTTGGCCAACGTTTCTGCATCCTGCCCTATGTCAGGACAAATCCCGTCTTCCCATTCCAGGGCGAGGATGAGGTGGCAGAGCTGCGCAGCCATGGGGCAGAGGATCCTCTGAATGGCTTTGTTTTCCGTCAGGAGCCCGAGGTCAGGGAGATGAAATGGCTCCATTTGTCCTGCCTGGGGAAGGGAAACGGAGCCTGGAGTTATTTGGGACGAGTTTGCATTTGAATGGCGGCTTCTGGCACTGGAAGCGCTGGGTTTAGTTTCTCCCAGCCCCTTTTCCCCCAGCAGTGTCCTCTGGCTGTGCCCATGGCGCACCCATGGCTCCGGGAGCTGGGAGGCCCCGTTCCCCCCCGCTGCTCCATGCGGACACCCTTAACGGAGCTCAGCCGCAGCGGGGCCGGTGTTCACCTGCCCGGGCACGGTCTGACCTGCGGGGGTTGTGCTGGGGCCGGGGTCCTGGGGTCCTTCCTGCAGCGAGACCCGGTCCCGGTGCCGGTGCCGCTCCCTGCTCCCGGGCTGCGCGATGCAGGCGGCGGCGGGGGATGCGTTACAGCTCGGTTACCGCGGGGCGGGCCGGGGAGCGCTCCCTGCCGGCCGCCGTCCCGGGGCTCCCTCGCTCCCTTCCTCCGGAGCCGCCGTCCCGGGGCTCCCTCCGGAGCTGGGGCCGTACCGGGAGCGCCCCGGGCGGGCCGCGGCGGCGCAGGCCCCGCGCCTGAGGAGACCGTGGTCGCGGGCGGCGGAGGCCATGGCGCTCCTCAGGCCGGGCCCGGCTGGCCCCCTGTTCCCTCAGTGTGTGGAGGGGACCGGCCCCGTGTGTACGTGAGCCCCGGCGCTTTATCCTCCCGCTCAGGGCCCGGGGGCTGGGGTGTGTGTGTGTGTGTGGGCACCGCTGTTGCCCCATGCCTGAGGCACTCCGTGGTGCGTGAGGGCGCGGGCGGCGGAGGGGCCGCTCCTCAGGCCGGGCTCCTGCTCCCCCCTGTAGCTGAGGGGGGCCCGGAGCGGATTTATGGCTCCCAAAGGGCAGGTTTCAGAGGTTCCTCAGCTGAGCTCCTTCCCCACCCAGGGAAGCAGCGCACCGGGGGCAGGACGGTGAGGAAGCGGGGTAGAAAACGCGTTCAGTGCCCCGACTTGTTCTGCATGCGGTCCCGGCACGCGGAGGGTGCCCACCGCGAGCGGCGGCCCTGCCCCGGAGCCTCAACTGCAGCGCGGCGGCGGAAACAGCCCCGGGGGAGCCGGGGTGTAACGGAGGCAAAGGCAGGAGGAGTAAATGGGTGAGAGCCGGCGCTGTGCTGCGGCACGGACCGAGCCTCACAGAGAGCTGACCGTTGTCAACGACAGAACCCAGCCTGGTTTGGGTTGAAGGGACCTTAAAGCTCCTCCAGCTCCAACCCCTACCACGGGCAGGGACCCCTTCCACTAGAGCAGCTTGCTCCAAGCCCCTGTGTCCAACCTGGCCTTGAGCACTGCCAGGGATGGGGCAGCCACAGCTTCTCTGGGCACCCTGTGCCAGCGCCTCAGCACCCTCACAGTGCCTGTGGCTCGCGGGTGTCTGCCCGAGGCAGTGCTGGAGCCGGACCCTGCTCCCATACCCTCACAGCTGGAGCACCCCCATCCCGGCCGTGGCTCCTTCCCTACGTTTCCAGGGAGGTCGGGGCTGAATCGACTTTTAGAGGTGACTTCAGTGATGTGAGGGGTCCCAGCTGCCTCGGGGCAGTGCAGCTGCATGGGTTTCACCCTCCTGCACGCTGTGAGGGTGCTGAAGCGGATGGACCCCGGCTGTAGGTGCAGGTGCGTGGGGCTGCTCTGCTACAGGCGCTTTACAATTGTTTCTAGAAGCTTCCAGAGCACTGAAGAAGCCCCAGAGACCTTCACAGCGCCTCGGACAGTGCATCCAATGTGGGTGATGGCGCTGCTGCTGCTGCCAAGGTGTCGGAGAGCTGAAGGAGAGCCCTGCCCGGTGAGCCTGCCCTGCTCCCCCTGCTGTGGGGCTGGGTGTGGGTCCGAGGGCTGGGGGTCTGCGGGGGGTGATTCCTGCGACGTGTCATGCATTGGGCAATGAGCAACGTGCACTGTGCCCATGCCATGGGCAGTGTGCGGCGTGTATCCATCACACTTGTGCAGCGTGCATCCTGCAGCATGCAGTGTGCAGTGTTACTGCAGCATGCACTGCGCAGGCTGCAACGTGCACATACATTGTGCAGCATGCATCGTGTATTGTGTAACATGCAACGTGTGTAGTGTACAGCGTGCGTCATGCACATGCAATGGGCATCGCGTGACATACAGCATATAGTGTGCAATGTGCATCGTGCACATGCAGTGTGTGATGTGCAGCGTGCCTTGTGCAGCGTGTATCATGCATCATGGAACATGCACTGTGCAATGTGTGCAGTGGGTACCATGCAATGTGCAACATGCAATGTGCAGTGTGTATCATGCCTTGTGCAGTGTGTGCCATGCCTTGTGCATCGTGCATTGTGGAACATGCACGGCACAATGTGCAGTGGGTACCGTGCAACGTGCAATGTGCAGTGTGCATCATGCCTTGTGCAATGTGCATCATGGAACATGCACTGTGCAATGTGTGCAGTGGGTACCATGCAATGTGCAACATGCAATGTGCAGTGTGTATCATGCCTTGTGCAGTGTGTGCCATGCCTTGTGCATTGTGCATTGTGGAACATGCACTGCACAATGTGCAGTGGGTACCGTGCGACATGCAACGTGCAATGTGCAGTGTGCATCATGCCTTGTGCGATGTGCATCATGGAACATGCACTGTGCAATGTGCGGAGTGGGTACCATGCAATGTGCAACACGCAGTGTGCAGCATGTACGATGTGTTGTGCAACATGCATGGTGCAGTGTGCATGGTACATGCATCATGCAACATAGGCGCGTGCAGTGTGCACCTGGATCATGTGCACAAGCATGCACCGCATGTACCGTGCACGATGCACCCAGATCATGTGCACACGCATGTACCGTGCATGATGCACCCGGATCATGTGCACATGCATGCACCGCATGCACCATGCATGATGCACCTGGATCACGTGCACACGCATGCACTGCATGCACCATGCACCTGGATCACGTGCACACGCATGCACCGCATGCACCATGCACCCGGATCACGTGCACACGCATGCACCGCATGTACCATGCACCATGCACCTGGATCACGTGCACACGCATGCACCGCATGCACCATGCACCCGGATCCCGTGCACGCGCGCGCCGCCGCCTGCCCGTGCCCGCGCCCGCGGTGCGGCGCCGGCGGACGGAGGCGGAGGAAGAGGAGGAGGAGGAGGAGGAGGAGGAAGGCGGCGGCAGGCGCAGGCCGGAGCCCGGCGCCATGGACAGCACGGGCAAGGAGCGGGAGGCCGTGCAGCTCATGGCCGAGGCCGAGAAGCGGGTGAAGGGCTCGCACTCCTTCCTGCGGGGGCTCTTCGGGTGAGCGGCGCCGGTTGCGTAATGGGGGTGCGCGGGGGGGGGGGGTCTTGCACAAGCGGGTGCTTATCGGGGTGCTGTGATCAAACACCCCACCCCAGCGCACACAGCCCCCATTGCTCAGCGTGGAAGCACCACTGTGATGATGTGGGATGTGTGTGTGTGTGTGTGTGTGTGTGCACCCCCCGTGCTGGACCCGCCGTAGGGGGGGGGGTCCCCACGTCCTGCCCCATGGCGGCTCCGTTTATCCCGGCTTTATCCGCTCTGTGCCGCGGCGGCACCGGCCATGGGGTGCCCTCTCCCCCCTGATCGGGGGCTCCCCGCCGGCGGCGGCGCCCCAAGGCTCTGCTCGGAGCCCCCCCATCCTCCTTGAGGCCTTTTGCAGGGGATTGATCCAGGATCAGGGGTTTTTGGATGATTTCAGTCCATTGGATTCATGTTTTCCAGCGGCACCAACCCATGGCATGGGGCACAGAGACCCCCGCAGGGATGGGGCTGTTGGGGGGGGGGATGTGCGATACCCCTAAACTACCAAATCTTCCTTGATCCTGGAATTTCCTGTTCCAAGGCAGACATTGCTGCTGCTGCAGGAGCTGCTCCTCAGGGGGATGGGAAAACCCGGCAGCTCTGGCCACCCCAATCCTGCTTTTTTTGGTGCTCAGCAAAGAGCATCTCTGGAGCGATGCTCCCCCGGAGGCCGGGATGAATCCAAACAGGAGCCTGGAAAAATCCAGTGCCCGCAGCTCGGCAAGCAGGAGTCACAGACAGGAATTCCTCGCTGGCAGATTAATCAGGCAGAGGCTGCTCCGGGCATAATCCAGGCGGGCAATTGCCTCAGCCCCCTCGGAATGAACCGGCAGGAGATTGCGAGAGGCAAATTCCTTGTTTTCTTGGGCTAAAAATAGAGAAAAGAGCCATGGAATGGTAGGGATGGTGCTGGAGGGCTTTGCTGTCAGCCTCTTCCCATGGGAATGGGGGTGTCCAGGCCCATGGGTGGCTCCCACAAGGATCGTGGGCACTGGGTGATTTCCTGGAGCGCTCCACCCGCTGCCCCAGGGCTTGGATTTGGGATGGAGGAGCTGCATCCCCCCCGGCCCCGGCTGCCTCTCACTGTGTAGCATCACCTCCGGCCGCCGCCTCTGGTGCTGCCTCATGCACAAGGCGCTGTCAAGGGCGAGGAGCGGGCCAAGAACCCGCCTGGGCTCGGTGCTGTGCTTGGTGCTGTGCCAGGGGGAGGCACGAGGGGAGATGGCAGTGCTAAACGGTGCCACCTCCTGCCTGGGGCCCCTGCGGGGTCAGCGTGAGCTGTGCTGCAGTGCTGGGCTCACAGGGGTCCCATCAGCCCTGATGGGCTCGAGGTCCAGGGCATCCCTTGGCTGATCCGGTGGGTGATGCTCCTTGCAAGGGTGAGCGTGTGGGATGCCCCATCTTTGCCCCATTGGGGCAGGCGCAATGAGTGGTGCCTGGACACAGGCAGGGGGCGGCTCTGGAACCACAGACCCTTTGGGTAATCCTAGAACCCCAGCCTGGTTTGTGTTGAAGGGACCTTCAAGCTCCTCCAGCCCCAACCCCTGCCACGGGCAGGGACCCCTTCCACTGGAGCAGCTTGCTCCAAGCCCCTGTGTCCAACCTGGCCTTGAACACTGCCAGGGATGGGGCAGCCACAGCTTCTCTGGGCACCCTGTGCCAGCGCCTCAGCACCCTCACAGGGAAGAGCTTCTGCCTAAGAGCTCAGCTCAGTCTCCCCTCGGGCAGGTTCAAGCCATTCCCCTTGGCCTGTCCCTCCATCCCTTGTCCCAAGCCCCTCTCCAGGTCTCCTGGAGCTGTTTCAGCTCAGTCCCTCTGGTGCCTTTCAGGGGCAACACGCGGGTGGAGGAGGCCTGTGAGATGTACACCAGGGCTGCCAACATGTTCAAGATCGCCAAGAACTGGAGTGGTGAGTGTGGTGACCCGCCAGCACCTGAGCATCCCCCTGGGAATCACTGCCCGGAGCTCTGCATCCCGGCCCGTTCCCATGGGGACGCGGCTCCTCCGCTGGGCCCGGCTCCCCATGAGTTCTGCAGGGGATGTGGGTGCAGGGGTGGCCTGGTTGTGCCTCCCATTCAGGCAGGGTGGTGGTTACTGCTTCATAATGCACTGGAGCCCACCAAAGAGGTGCTGCCCTGGGACTGCTCCTCGAGGAAATACCTCTTTGGGGTGGGACATCAAACCTGATGGGGTCGAGATCCAAGGGATCCCCTTCCTGATCCAGTAGATGATGCTCATTGCAAGGATGAGCGTGGCATGCGCCTTGTTCACCCCATTGGGTGAAGGAGCGCAACGATGGATGCAGTTTGGGGTTGCTGCATCTCTGCACCTCCCCGGCTGGTGGGAGGGGATGCTGCTTGGCTGCTCCTGCATGCTCCTGGTCCATGTGTCCCTGTGTGCTCCTCGCAGCGGCAGGGAACGCCTTCTGCCAGGCGGCCAAGCTGCACATGCAGCTGCAGAGCAAGCACGACTCGGCCACCAGCTTCGTGGACGCCGGGAACGCCTACAAGAAGGCAGATCCACAAGGTAAGGGGAGGGAAGCTGGGATGTTCCCTTGGGAAGCTGCTCGTGGAGGAGGTGGCACACGGGGGCTTCCGGTTATCACCAGCACTGCTGGGGCTGCAGAGCCTCGCTGCGGGATACCCAACAGCCATGGATGCCTCCTGCCTGCTCTGGAATAGGGTCCGGAATGATGGAGGCTCCTGGGCATCACCGTGCAGGGCTGGTTCCTGGAGAGGTGTCACCTCCTCTTGGTGATCTCTGGTGCTTTGGCTGTGCCAGAGCCTCCGCTGAGCTCTGGTGTGCCCCAGGGCTGCTCCTCAGCACCTTCCTTCCCATCTGAGCTTGGCTTCGGAGGAAGCCTTCGGCAGGTCTCAGGGCTGGATCACACTGGGATCCGCAGCCCCATTCCTGGGGGCTTCCCTGGGGCAGAGGAGAGGTGGGAGGAAACTGGGACTGAGCTTTGATGGGATGAGGAAGAAGGATCTGGATCCTTTGGATCTGGTGGTGATGGGATAAGGATAAAGGATCTGGATTTTTAGATGTGATTTTGATGGGATGAGGAAGAAGGATCTGGATCCTTTGGATCTGGTTGTAATGGGATAAGGATAAAGGATCTGGATTCTTTAGATGTGATTTTCATGGGATGAGGATAAAGATCTGGATCCTTTGGATCTGGTTGTGATGGGATAAGGATAGAGATAAGGGTAAAGGATCTGGATCCTTTGGATCTGGTTGTAATGGGATAAGGATAAAGGATCTGGATTCTTTAGATGTGATTTTGATGGGATGAGGAAGAAGGATCTGGATCCTTTGGATCTGGTTGTGATGGGATAAGGATAAAGGATCTGGATTCTTTAGATGTGATTTTGATGGGATGAGGATAAGGATCTGGATCCTTTGGATCTGGTTGTGATGGGATAAGGATAAAGGATCTGGATTCTTTAGATGTGATTTTGATGGGATGAGGAAGAAGGATCTGGTTGTGATCTTTGGATCTGGTTGTGATGGGATAAGGATAGAGATAAGGGTAAAGGATCTGGATCCTTTGGATCTGGTTGTAATGGGATAAGGATAAAGGATCTGGATTCTTTAGGATGTGATGGTGATGGGATAAGGATAAAGGTTCTGAATTCTTTAGATGTGATTTTGATGGGATGAGGAAGAAGGATCTGGATCCTTTGGATCTGGTTGTGATGGGATAAGGATAAAGGATCTGGATTCTTTAGATGTGATTTTGATGGGATGAGGAAGAAGGATCTGGATCCTTTGGATCTGGTTGTGATGGGATAAGGATAAAGGTTCTGAATTCTTTAGATGTGATTTTGATGGGATGAGGATAAGGATCTGGATCCTTTGGATCTGGTTGTGATGGGATAAGGATAAAGGTTCTGAATTCTTTAGATGTGATTTTGATGGGATGAGGAGGAAGGATCTGGATCTTTTGGATCTGGTTGTGATGGGATAAGGATAAAGGATCTGGATCCTTTGGATCTGGTTGTGATGGGATAGAGATAAGGGTAAAGGATCTGGATCCTTTGGATCTGGTTGTGATGGGATAGAGATAAGGGTAAAGGATCTGGCTCCTTCGGATCCGGTTGTGAAGAGCAGGGCTGTGGTTTCCAGGAGCACCTCCCATTCCTTCCCCAGCCGAGTGTATGGAAACAGAGCAGCCAACCTCCCCTGTTGCCCACGCTTCCCGTGCCAGGCAGCTGGAGAAGCTCACTCAGGCTGATAATTCCCGTGTGTAGTTGTAAAACACCCCAATTCCCAAGGGAATGGCAGGGGAACGGCAGCTCCTGCGTGTTAGGAGATGGGGATCCGCTCTTTGCTCCGTTTGAGGGCGCAGGGGGACAGAGCCAGGGTGAAAGCGGTTTGTGTTTTACTCCCCCTCACTTTGGCCCGTTCCCTTTCGGGGGGGTGGGCCAGGAGGCTGGTGCTGGCATGGAGGGGATGTTGTGCTGGGTGAAGCGGGATGAGATCCACAGGTCTGGAAGCGCGGGGGGAATGTTCCAGCTGCAGCTCAGGGTTGGACTGGGTCCTTCCGGAGACACGGGAAGTGAGGAGATCCCTGTCTGAGGAGCTTGGGGCTTGGTTTGGTGTTGGGATGCGGGCTGGAGCTCTGACCTGCTGCCTGACTCTGCTCTTTCTCCCGACCACTCATGCTGCAGAGGCCATCAACTGCTTAAATGCAGCTATTGATATCTACACCGACATGGTAAGAGGCTGCCCGGCAGCTCTGCGGGGCGCGAGCTGCAGGTCGGGAAGCGCCGTGCGGTGGAGGGGGGGTCCCTCCTCACGTGCACCCTCTGCTTCCCCAGGGGCGCTTCACCATCGCGGCCAAGCACCACATCACCATCGCCGAGATCTACGAGGCTGAGCTGGTGGACATCGAGAAGGTGAAACAGCCCGGGGAGCACTGGCGCGAGGCGGGGAAAGGCTTTGGGAAACCGGGGGGCAACTTCCATAGAGCCCCAGCCTGGTTTGGGTTGAAGGGGCCTTAAAGCTCCCCCAGCTCCAACCCCTGCCACGGGCAGGGACCCCTTCCACTGGAGCAGCTTGCTCCAAGCCCCTGTGTCCAACCTGCCCTTGAGCACTGCCAGGGATGGGGCAGCCACAGCTTCTCTGGGCACCCTGTGCCAATGCCTCAGCACCCTCACAGGGAAGAGCTTCTGCCTAAGAGCTCATCTCAGTCTCCCCTCAGGCAGGTCCAAGCCATTCCCCTTGGCCTGTCCCTCCATCCCTTGTCCCGAGCCCCTCTCCAGCTTTCCGGTACGTTCACAGCTATTTCTGGATGCCCCCCAAGGCAGCTGCTGTTGGTTCCCATAACCAAGGCCCCTGCGCAGGGATCCTGCAGCCTCTTGGCTGGCTGCAGAGCACAAAGAACAATTCGTGGTTTCTGGACCATCCTTTTCTTCCTGAGCTCCACTGGGTCCCCCTCTCTGTTACTGCCCCTCCACGGGCAGCCCACTGAAGCCTTGCTCTTGACTCGTTCATTCTCTGGTGGCAAACCTCACGCTTCGGGATGACACTGTGGTGTTTCTGTCCCCAGGCCATTGCACACTACGAGCAGGCTGCTGACTACTACAAGGGAGAGGAGTCCAACAGGCAAGTGGCCTTCACAGAGGGGTGGGAGAGGGGGGGTTTGTGCCCCACTGCTTTTGCTCTTCCAAGCCACCCCTTGGTGGGATGCTCCCGTCCTGCTGCCATTCCCGCTTTCATTTTGGCTGGAAACTCCCCTGGTGTGCAGTGTTGGGTCCCACTTTACACAAGCGCTTCAGGAGGCGTCTGGGGGTGCCAGGCTGTGGGTTGGGTCCTGCCCAGGCCACAGCCCCTCACTTGAGGCTCTTGGTTGCAGCTCGGCCAACAAGTGTCTGCTGAAGGTGGCTGCCTACGCCGCGCAGCTGGAGCAGTACCAGAAGGCCATCGAGATCTACGAGCAGGTGAGGCCGTGCTGCATCCATGGGGAGAGCTCTCGCTGCCAAGGACAATGGGTCAGGGTTGGTTCCAGTATTCCATGGCCCAGGAGCTGTTGATGGCGCTGATGGTGCCTTGGCAAGACACTTTGCTTCCAAGAGTTGCTGTAGCCCAGGATCCCTGCATGGGACCCCGAATGGGGGCTCTGACTCCGCTTGGGATTAGCTGTAAATCAGTGGCTCCCCAACAGCTTCTTGTGTGGACCCTGGTGCTTTCCCCCATCGTTATCTGGGGTCGGTGTAATCTTAACCACCCCTCCTGCTCTTCATTGAGCTCTTCATGACGAGGTTTCCTTCCCCGCCTCTCCCTGTGCCAGGTGGGGACCAACACGATGGACAACCCTTTGCTCAAGTACAGCGCCAAGGAGTATTTCTTCAAGGCTGCCCTGTGCCACTTCATCGTGGACGAGCTCAACGCGAAGGTCAGTGGGCTCCAGGCGTTATCCCAGCCTCCTGCATCCCGATCCAGCAGCCTGGCCCGGCTGGGGCGCATCCCTGTGCGTGCAGGGGCCTGTGGCTGGTGCATGGGTGGAAGCTGCACGTGCCGTGGCGTTGGGTTGGGTTCATTGGGAGCCGGAGGGCAGGAGCTGAGGTGGATTGAGCGGTTGGATGGGGAGTGTTGAGGGTTGGCTGCTCTCTTCCAGCTCGCGCTTGAGAAGTACGAGGAGATGTTCCCGGCGTTCACGGACTCCCGGGAATGCAAGCTCTTGAAAGTGAGTAAAGCTGGGAGAAAGGGAGAGTAAAGTGGGAGCCCCTCTTGTAAGCGGTGCTGCTGCCCGTTGCTTGGTGCCTTCCCACCTCCCCTCGGCTGTGCTCCCTTTCTCCGTGCTCGCTTGGCCTGGGCTCGATTCCAGACCTCTGGAAGCAGCTGCAGGATGATTGCTGCACCTCTCTTAAACCTTCAGCCCAGCCCCACGCTGCGCTGTGTGCGTGCGTGCTCTGAGCAGGTCGTGGAGGCGCCGCTGCGGGTGGGAAGGGGCAGAGGTCTCCTGGCTGCTGTCCGTGCTCATGGAGCAGTTTTCCCATTTTCCATGGTTTTATCCCTAGAAACTGCTGGAAGCCCACGAGGAGCAGAACTGCGAGGCCTACACGGAGGCGGTGAGTGCTCAGCTGGGCCTTGTGTAACCTCATCTTTGGGGCGGGGGGGGGCACACACTGCTCGGTGTCGGGTCAGTTAGCTGAGTCCCACGGGGAAACCATCGGGAATGGCAGTGGTTGATGGAGCATCCCATGGGATCGGTGGCGGCGCCGCCCCAGCCTGCGCAGCTCCTGTGCCGAATGCTCCAATCCTGCTGCTGCTCCGTGCCCCAGAGCCCAGGGAGCTGCAAACCTGCCCAGCAGCGGAGGCCTGAAGGGCTCCGGGTGCTGTTGGGTGGCTCCTGGCTCTCCTTGGATGGGGTTTGCTTAGTGCAGGGTGCGGGGTTTGGAGCTTCCTCGTGCTCAGGTTTGAAAGGGGACGGTTTATTTTTCATTTTACATTGACTTTTTATTCTGTTGCATTTGAAATTTCAGCATATTTATGATTTATTGGATTCTGTGGTGTTATTTTAATAATTGGATTTGATTCTAATATCAATCCTTTTGTTGAATTTTATTCTAGTGTTATTGTCCTGCCCTTTCTTGTTCTCTTTCCCTTTTCCTTTCCTCCTCTCCTCCCTCTTTTCCTTTTCCTCTCCTCCTTTCTTCTCTCTCCCCTCTTCCTTTCCGTTTCCCCTCTCTTCCCCCTTTCCCTGTGGACGCAGCAGTTCCCACACGCAGCTCAGGCCCTGCCCGCTGCCTCTTCCCCCGCAGCCCCGTTCACTTCCCAGCTCTCAGTTCTGCTCCTGTCCCCGCAGGTGAAGGAGTTCGATTCCATATCGCGCCTGGACCAGTGGCTCACGACCATGCTGCTGCGCATCAAGAAATCCATCCAGGGGGAAGGGGATGGGGACCTCAAGTGACGCAGCTCCGGTCCCCCCCGTGCGGTGGCCCTGCCACCGCTGGCTTCGTTCCGTGTCTCACCCCGCCTGTCCCGTAGTGTCCCGCTCCGTGTCCCCGAGGCGGAGGCAGCGCTTGGGGCTGAGCCCTCTCCTTGGGGGCCCTGTCCCCGCTCGGTGCCCTCGAGGCCAGCGTGTAAATACCTGGTGCAGCTCAGTACAAGCCCTCGCTTCTGCTCTGCTCTGCTGTCGCCGTTTCTGTGCCGAGGGGACCCTCCCTGAGCTGCGCTCGGAGCTTGGGGTGTTTTTTAAATGAGCTTTTATACCCGTGCTCTAGTGAAAGGCTTCGTGGCTCTCCCATCTGTGTGCACGTGTGGCATCCATCCCATAGATACACGTGTGCTGGAGGCAGGACGCGCGGGGGACAGGGCAGCTGGGGAGCAGACCCAGTGTCCGTTGTGTTCTGGGTCCAAGCTGCACCATTGAGGTTCTAGACGTCCTCGGATCTATTTTTCCACTTTATTTCCTGGCACAGCCCGTCCTCCCCCCCGCAGCAGGAATCTCTTTTTCCAGCTCTCCGTTTACCTGACCTCCTCCTGCTGTCGCTGCTGCAGGTCGCAGGGACACGTGAAGCCTCCAACCTCTCCACCATCGGCGATGCTGCCTCGTTCTTGCCACCTGCAAAGGCACTGGCTGAGGTTTGAGGGTACACGGAGACCTTGGCTGAGTTCTCTGGGTGATGGCTGGGAAAGGTGTAGCCATGCGTGGCATTCCCATGGGAATGTCAGAGGTGCGGTTGTAACCGAGGCTGATTCCAGGCCTGGGCATGGAGGGTGGCTCAGGAGCCTGGGCAGTTTGTGAGCATCTCATGGCTGGCTGCAGTGAAGGGGTTTCAGCTGTGCCACTGATGTGCAAAGAGTGGATGAGGAACTGCTTGCTTTGGCACAGCTGCTTGTGTGGCTGTTGCTGTAGTCCCAGTGCTGCTGCCTGGGGTTGGCTCTGCCCTCGATTCCCTCCCTGAGGCACTGGGCTCTGGCACCAGCGTTTGTGCTCCTGTCCAGTTGGTTTTAACCTGCCTGTTTATGAGGAGACACAGCCTGGTGCTTTGGGCTGAAGGGTTTGGTCCTGTTCAAGCTGGACTTTATCCCTGCCCTGGGCCTAAGCAGAGGCAAACCCAACGCTGCTGCACTGACCTGGGGTAGAAGGATGGGTTGGAACCATTTTCATCTCATTTCCTTGCTTTTCCTGCCTGTTTTGGGTCACTTTGCTGGGATCAGGCGTGTGGTGAGGGCTGTGTCCTGCCTGACCCCGCTGCGTCACGGAGATCTGAGGCTTTCCCACCTCCTTGTGCTCCCTTTTCCCAGCGTCAGGATTGTGCACGGTTGGGCTGAGCTGTGTCTGACCAGAAGCCAGGCCCAGGGCTGGTGGGGCCCCTTGCGAGCAGCAGCATTAAACAACCACCGTTAGTTCCGTTGTGAGTAGGCTACAGCATGTCCGTCCTCCGGTGTACCCGTGGTGAATTGTGACACTGTACACGACAGTCTGCCACTGCTCTATCCCCTCTGTACCATGACAATGCGTGACTGAGATGGCCTTAGCAGGAATATACTGTTCTGTGTGAATCTGTACACGAATAAAGTGAAAACCATGGATGTAGCTGCTGCGGGATGCTCTTCCCTGCAGGATCCAAACCTGGAGCCTGGTGTAAAGTAGAGGTGTGGTCAGTGGGGCAGGATCTAGCTGGAGGTCTGTGACTAGTGGAGTCGCTCAGGGGTCGGTGCTGGGACCAGTGCTGTTTAGTGTTCTCATCACCGACCTGGATGAGGGAACTGTTCCCTGCTGATACTGAGCTGGGAGGAGTGGCTGACAGCAGAGGGCTGTGCTGCCATCCAGCGAGACCTGGACAGGCTGGAGAGGTGGGAGGGGAGGAACTTGATGGAATTCAACAAGGGCAAGTGTAGAGTCTTGCATCTGGGGAAGAACAACCCCATGTAGCAGGACAGGTTGGGGGCTGACCTGCTGGACAGTAGTGAAGGGGAAAGGGACCTGGGGTCCTGGTGGATAGGAGGATGACCATGAGCCAACAATGTGCCCTTGTGGCCAGGAAGGCCAATGGCATCCTAGGGTGTATTAGAAAGGGGGTGGTTAGTAGGTCGAGAGAGGTCCTCCTTCCCCTCTACTCTGCCCTGGTGAGACCCCATCTGGAATATTGTGTCCAGTTCTGGGCCCCTCAGTTCAAGAAGGACAGGGAGCTGCTGGAGAGAGTCCAGCGCAGGGCAACGAAGATGATTGAGGGAATGGAACATCTCCCTTATGAGGAGAGGCTGAGGGAGCTGGGACTCTTCAGCTTGGAGGAGACTGAGGGGTGACCCCATCAATGGTTACAAATGTGTAAAGGGTGAGTGTCAGGATGATGGAGCGAGGTGTTTTCAGTGCTGTGCAGTGACAGGACAAGGGGCAATGGGTGCAAACTGGAGCACAGGAGGTTCCATGGGAACAGCAGGACATATTTCTTTACTGTGAGCGTGACAGAGCACTGGAACAGGTTGCCCAGGGGGGTTGTGGAGTCTCCTCCGTTGGAGATATTCAAGGCCCGCCTGGACAAGTCCCTGTGATGTACTCTAGGTTACCCTGCTCTTGCAGGGGGTTGGATGAGACGATCTTTTGAGGTCCCTTCCAACCCTTGTGATTGTGAAGCATCGGGTAAGAGCTGCTCTGTGTGATGCTTCCCTTCGGTCCCCGTCACCCCACTGACCCGCCTGCTGGGGAAGCTGGACCAATCCCCCAGTGTCCCTGTTTTCCAGGCGTGTTTCCCCACGCCAGAGCTGAGCCCCAAGAAGCCCGTCCTGACTCCCAGCAGCAAGGCCTGGCCAGGACGAGCTCTGTGCCCATTGTCCAGCAGCAGCAGGGCTGAGGTGGGACCCTGGGGTCAGAACTGTTTGATCCCAGTGACCACGTTCAGGATTTAATGAGAGCAGGCTCCAGGAGTAACTCGCTGCTGTATAGGGCTGAGGACAGCAGCTCCCTGCTTCCAGGTACTTTACACCGCAGTGGGGACTCCCGAGCTGCACCGGGGACCCCGGCCTTGTGCAGATATAACCTCTTGGAAACGCTCCTGTAGGAAATTCCCTTTCTGTAGGATGCAGTTCCACCTACAGCAACCCTCCAGGGATCCCTGTCAGGTTCAGAACCAGCTCTGAGCCAGCCTGGGTGTTGTTACTGCTTTGCCAACCCCTAAACCCTGCCAAGCTTTGGCTGTGCTTACCTTCACGCCAGCACAACCCTCCAGCAGCATTCCTCAGCTCTGGAAGTGCCAATGTAATAGTGACATGAAGAGAAACAGGAAAGGGAAGTAGAAACCCAGGAGTCATCCCAGGGCCAAGGATTCCACAGGTTCCTTGTGCCACACACAGGGATAACATCCCAAATCCTCCCAAGTGCTCCAGTCAGGTCAGTCACAGGCACTACCGAGTGTTCCAGCTCGGCTCAGCAAAGGAAAAGGCAGGAAATGCTGACCCTGGATGGAAAGTGTCTTGGGTTTCCCTGTGCAAAAGCTTTCCCACCTACTGGATGTGATGGGAGAACAAGAGGAGATGCTAAGGGAAGATCTGGAGATTAAAGGAAGGTCTCCCTGTTGTGGTGAGGAATTCCCTAAGGGTGATTCTCATGGCCACTGGTGCTGCTGGGATCCAAACCTGATGGGTGAAGGGCAGTTGGGCTTGGGAGCCTCAGTGCCAGTGCTCATCCTCCTGATGTCAACCAGAGTGTGCCTGGAGTCCTGCATCCGCCTCAGAGCAGCTCCAGTGCCTGAAGGGGCTGCAGGAAACCCGGAGAGGGGCTTTGGACAAGGGCATGCAGGGACAGGCCAAGGGGAATGGCTTGAACCTGCCCGAGGGGAGACTGAGCTGAGCTCTTAGGCAGAAGCTCTTCCCTGTGAGGGTGCTGAGGCGCTGGCACAGGGTGCCCAGAGAAGCTGTGGCTGCCCCATCCCTGGCAGTGTTCAAGGCCAGGTTGGACACAGGGGCTTGGAGCAAGCTGCTCTAGTGGAAGGTGTCCCTGTCAGTGGCAGGGGTTGGAGCTGGAGGAGCTTTAAGGTCCCTTCAACCCAAACCAGGCTGGGATCCTATGAGGAGGAGCCCTGCCAGGGTTATTCCAGTACAATTCAGCAGCAGATGCTGATCAGGAAAAGCCCATGAACAGGAAGGTTCAGAATTAAGCCCTTCCTTCGAACCCCTCCACTGAGGGCATTTAACCAGACACAGCCTAAAGCTGCTGCTCAGGTTCCTACAGAGTCTTGCAGACAAATCTGGGCAATGAAGGCCTAAATCCCTTGATGCAGGGATGTTTCTCACTTCCTTGCACTCGTTTTGCCATTAGCCACAGGAACCCTGGAGCTCCTGCTCAGAGCTGAACTCACCTCAGGGGACTCTTGCACGGGTGGGATTACCTGCAGCAGCTCAACAGAACAGGAGGCAGCCTTTCCAATGGGATTATTAAAGGCAGTGCTATGGTTCTGAGCAGCAGTGGAGGAAAGAGCTCTGCTGGTGTCTGAAGCAGGGGGAAAGGGCTTGGATACAGCTAATGGGAAAATGCCAGTTACAATTCCCTACACTGGCTTTTCCTGCTGGAGCACTGCTCTTAATCACCCCTGGTACACGAGGTGATTTGGTCTCGCAATTCCAAGTGAGAAGATGGAGACAGTCACTGAATGGGAGTGCAACACTGTGCAAGGTTCCACTGAAATGAAAGCAATAACCAGCACCTGCACAGACACAGCACGTGGCTCCCACTTGCCCATTTTGCTCCTAAAGAATCCAAACTGGAATGAAAGCCCAGATCTCTTCAAAGCTCACTCCTGTTCCCAAGGAGAGAGCTGGCTCGCTGCTTGGGTCTTTGGCAAAAGCAGAGATATCCCACCATTTCCTGAAAAGCACTTTAGTAAATCTCATTTTATGGATGGTTTTCCACTAGGGAAAACATAATTCATCTCACTAAGCTGCAAGGCTGAGAAACACCACGTTGCTTCTCTTGATTGTACAAGTGTCATCAATCAACTCAAACTCACTCCTTCATTATAACCAAGCTGAGTTCAAGCACCTCCCGTCAGTGCAGGCAGTGAGAGCCAACGGGCTCAACTACCCCCTTCCAGGTGGAGGGAAGAAGCACACAGGGACTTGTGCAGCCTCTCCCACCACCCTGGTGCAGTGATGCTGAGCCCTGCCTTCAGGAGATGGAGCTGTACCGGGTGGGGAGTGAATATTGTGAGGAAATCCTGGCAATGCAATGCACGTCCTTCACATCTATCCCTGCTTCCTTATCACAGCTCCCCAGTCCCCTCGGTAGGCTGCTGGCAAAGGGCTGTACAAAGGGTGCAGCTGTAACTACCACGTTACTCCATGTTGACCAGAGCGTGCAGCTGCGGCTGGACAGAGTCTGTCTGCGTGTGCAGCACGGTCAGCTCGCTCAGGGTGGTTGCTATGAGGGCTTCCTGGGGCCCTGGGGTGCCATCGGCCTTACAGTCCGTGCCCGTGGCAGAGCCGGTGTCGTGCAGCGCGGTCACGCTGCCCTCGGGGAAGGGCAGCAGCTTCTCCGGGATTTTGGGGGACACGTCGTACTCCTCGTCGGGAAGCTCCGTCTTGTGAGCCTCATCGCTCTTCGAGGGCCCCTCCACGATGACCAGGAAGGACTTCCAGGGGGTGTTCTTATCGTGTATCTGGAAACAACGACCAGAGAGCAGGAGCTGGGACACGTGCTGACTGGCCAGGAGGCGCATCCGGCTCGGAGGCGATGCTGGTGGACAAGGCCTCCGTTTGCACCCCACGTAACGCCTTCCCGTCCCAACCAAGCTGCCTGGGCGCTGGGGGGCCCCAGAAGAAGGCCACGGGGCAGCAGGACACGGGGTGCTTACCGAGGTGTGGCGCCGGAGCGTGGACTTGTCGGTGAAGGTCCTGCCGCAGGCGTTGCACATGAAGGGCTTCTCCCCGGTGTGGATCCGGTGGTGCCGCTGCAGCGCGTTCAGCTGCGTGAACTGCTTCCCACACTGGTCACAGCAGTAGGGCCGCTCCCCTGCACGAGCAGTGAAAGGGTGATGGTGGGTGCTGCACACCCCTGGGCTTCAGCAGATGATGAGGCGCACGCAAGCATGCTGGGCTGCACCTCCAGAGCGGGAGCAGCAGGGCAGGGAGGGGATCCTGACCCTCTGCTGGGCTCTGGGGAGACCCCCCCTGCAGCCCTGATCCAGCTCTGGGGCAGCAGCACCAGAGGGACGTGGAGCTGTTGGAGCGAGGCCAGAGGAGGCCATGGAGATGCTGCGAGGGCTGGAGCAGCTCTGCTCTGGAGCCAGGCTGAGAGAGCTGGGCTGGGGCAGCCTGGAGAAGAGAAGGCTCCTGAAGGGGAGACCTGAGAGCAGCTCCAGTGCCTGAAGGGGCTGCAGGGAACCTGGAGAGGGGTTGGGACAAGGGATGGAGGGACAGGCCAAGGGGAATGGCTTGAACCTGCCTGAGGGGAGACTGAGCTGAGCTCTTAGGCAGAAGCTCTTCCCTGTGAGGGTGCAGAGGTGCTGGCACAGGGTGCCCAGAGAAGCTGTGGCTGCCCCATCCCTGGCAGTGTTCAAGGCCAGGTCGGACACAGGGGCTTGGAGCAAGCTGCTCCAGTGGAAGGGGTCCCTGCCTGTGGCAAGGGTTGGAGCTGGAGGAGCTTTAAGGTCCCTTCCAACACAAACCAGGCTGGGATTCTATGACTGAAAAGGCTCTGGCACCTCCTACCTGTGTGCACTTTTATATGCTGGTAAAGTGAGTTCCTCTGCGCGAACGTCCTGAAGCAAACTTCACACTTGAAAGGCTTGGAGCCAGTGTGGATTCTGTTGTGGTGTTTCAAGTACTCCTTAGAGGCAAAGCTCTTCCCACATGTCTCACACATGAAAGGCCTTTCCCCTGCAGCACAGGTGAGAAGGAGAATCAATGAACACAGTACTTGAGAAAGCATTCTGGACTTGTGCATGATGTTTAACAGCAATTAGATACAAACGAAGGCCGGGGTAGCCTCATAACAGGATCTGAACAGGCCCTGGTGATGAGGCACAGAGAATTCCTATGGGAAATGTGCACAAACCCCTCCGAGGGCAAGGACAACCCCACCTCTCCACAGGTATGCTCACAGCACATGAAAAGCCCATGGAGACCTGCAGCTTGAGGTCTTCTCACCACCTCTGGAGCATTCCAGCTTACTCCACCACAAACACAACGCTGTGTGCCTCCATGAAAAGCCTCCACCTGGGAGCAGCTGATTCCAGTCACACTTGTCTTGAAAAGCATTTGTTGGCTTATAATTCATTGTCATTTAATGTTTTCTGCCATCTGTGTGTGCTTACAAGTTACTGGCAGAGGGCAGAACACTTTAAGATGGGTCAACCAGGAGATGGAAGGTACCACACGCAGCTCATGGATGCTCAATGTGAAACTACAAAGGATTCCCAGGGGAAGGACCTGTGCTCTTGAGGACTTCTCTGCAGCTCAGGATAAGCCAAGAGAGCTGTTTCATCTCCCTGTGCTAACGTTTCCAGACTTAGAAATAAATTTCTTCTTAAAGATTCACCTAAAAGCTTTTACTGATGACACATCCTTGGCTATCGAACATTATTCAAGGCAGCCTCAGTCCTCAGTTCTGGCACTGAAAAGGGAACTCCTTTTCTCCTTCATCAGCTCTTTTTCCTCTCTCCACCCGCAGAAACCTTTTCTCAGTAAACCCATGGTTAGGGATGAACACCTCCCATTTTACAACAACAACAGAGCATTTTCTGAGGGCAAAGAGCTCTCGTGGTCTCCCAGGGGCCGCCTCCTACCCGCAGCCCGTGCAGAAGCAGCCTTACCTGTGTGGCATCGTTTGTGATAGATAAGCATGTGATTCTGAGTGAACCTGGCACCACACTCATCACAGACAAAAGGTTTCTCACCAGTGTGGATTCTGAAATGAGAAAGCAACGTTAAAGCACCAGGGTTCAGCCCTTCCCTCTGCAGCACAGCACAAGCTGCCCCCGTTCCGTGGCTGCTCTCAAAGCAAACCCATGCTGCAAGGGGCTTTAGTGCCCTGCAGGAGCCAGGCCCAGATCCAGACACTTCTTTAGGGTAAAAATACATTCTTACAGGTAAAAACTGTTTATAAACCCCATATCTGGGTACTCTAGTTTTAATTTCTGAGCCCATGCACACGTCAGGGCTCTGCTGAATGGTGCTGCAGGAACACAGCCCACAGGGACCAGTTTTCATGGTGATGCACATCAACAGGAGGAGCAGGGGTGTGAAAATACACACAAAAGATGAGACATCCCCACCATACACTGTCAGGGTACGCAGGATAGGGCAGCACTGAGCTCCCAGCATTCAGCAAGCTCAGGGAGCAGTCACAGTGGTACACAATGGAGGGGAAACTCCACTTAAGCCCAAGAAATGACTTTTAAGCAGCACAAAGCAGTTACCTGTGGTTAGGGAAGGACACCCGATGGCAGGGAAGGGCCATACAGCTGCATCAGCAGCTACACCACAGCAGAAGCTGGCTTTTGGGTGTGCTTTCTACCACTGGGAGTACACCTGTGCCTTCAAAAGGGGCAGTGAAGTGGCAGTTAAGAAACCCTTCACCCTGCAGGGCCATGCCGCCTCAGAACATGCTGGCATGTTCATGATCCTTTTTGGATCCCAGTGGTGGTACTTTGGGATGTTTCTTCTATCCTCCCCCCAGGCTATAATCTGAACTGTGGCCACAGTGGACCCCTAAAAGCAGGTTAAAGCCCTCCACAAATAGGATTTTGCTTCGGTGTCTCCCCCATGAGCTTTCAAGAGCATCTGTTTGCATCTCAGGCCCCGGAGTCACCCTGCAGTGTGAGCACCACAACTGACTTCAGCAGCTCTCCATGGGTGACTGTGGTGCTCCACTCCAGACAGCGACATGTCAGCCTCTTTCTGGTCACCCATGAGCTGTTGTCTGTGCTTAGCACCCAAACCTGCTGTTCTGCAATTTAACACACTGCCAAACCTTTAAAGAGTGTTTTCATACTTATTGCATGACGTTAAGGGCAGCAAGAAAACCTTCTGTAGGTACACTGGGGATAAAAGGACTGTCACAAGGGCCTGTAGGGACAGGCCAAGGGGAATGGCTTTAACCTGCCCGAAGGGAGACTGAGCTGAGCTCTTAGGCAGAAGCTCTTCCCTGTGAGGGTGCTGAGGCGCTGGCACAGGGTGCCCAGAGAAGCTGTGGCTGCCCCATCCCTGGCAGTGTTCAAGGCCAGGTTGGACACAGGGGCTTGGAGCAAGCTGCTCTAGTGGAAGGGGTCCCTGCCTGTGGCAGGGGCTGGAGCTGGAGGAGCTTTAAGGTCCCTTCAACACAAACCATCCTATGTGAAACATCCCATTGACTCTTAATAAGGTCTCCTCCCACGGGGAAAGTGAACTTCGGGCTTCTGCAGCAGCAGGCCTTGACCCACCACCTCTCCTTGAGCTTAAAGAAAGTTACAGCAACTCCCTCAACCTGGAAAGCAGAGGGGGCAATCCCAAAGCTCTGGAAGAAAGGAAAAGCTGACACTTTCCAGTCAGGCCCGTTTTACATCCCCACTCCACTTGAAGGCTCAAGGTGTGTTCCAGGGGATTCTGCTTCTCCCCCCAGAATCTAACAAGGCCCAGTTAAGTCTGTTCATACCTCATGTGGGTTTTAAGTGCAGAAGGCTGAGAAAATTTAGCCTCACACTCTGTGCACCCATAAGGCTTGTCGCCTGTATGCGTCCTTTCATGGAGCCTCAGGGCAGTTTTGGAGCTCAACCCCTTTCCACACTGTTGGCACTGATGACGCTCCCCACCACCCTCATGAACCTGGAGAATGTGCCTCTTGACGTCCTTCTTCCTCTTGAACTTCTTACCGCAGAGCTCACAAGGGAAGTGGCGCTCGCTGCTGTGGACGTGCCGCTGGTGGCTTTTGAGGTTGCAGCGGTTGGCAAAGGTCTGGCTGCAGGTCTCACACCGGTAAATGACCTCGGCTGCGATGCCGTGGCTGTGCCTGATGTGCTTCAGGAAGCTTTTCTCGTACAGGAATTCCTTCTCGCACGTGCCGCACTTGAAGTTGCTGCCGCGCTTCTTTTTATCCTCGTCGGATTTCTTCAGGCTTGCTTCCGGTTCCAAGTGGCCATCGCACTCCTCGCTCTCAGGTTTGATGTTGCTCTCCCCTTGCTCCTCCTCCTCCTCCCTCTCCAGCTCACACATCTCCTGATCTTGAGGATGCTCGTTTTCTTCAGCATCAACCTCCGCGTTCTTCTGCTGCTCTCTCAGCCGCCTCGTGTATTTCTTCTTTGGGATTTCCACAAACACCTTCCTCCCAGCCAGCCTCCCACTTGCCCTTCTGATTTTGGCATAGGGAGGCTTCAGCATTTCCTTCTTTTTGTCCATTTTCTCTTTTGCTTTGGCAGCTGGAGGCTCGGGAGCCGTTCCATTGCTGGGCCTGGCTGCTGGGGAACCTGGGGGAGCCAGGGCACAGTCGGCCTGGCCAGCTTCTGCCACGGCTTTGGGCTCCAGCAGAACGCTTGGCTGGGCAGAGCTCTCTTCCTCAGAGGTCTGGGATTCTGAGAAGTTCTGCAACTCCAGCAGCACTGATTCCAGCATCTGCTTCTTTAATTGAAAGCAGGTTTCTGAGAGGTCCAAGCACTTCAGCTTTTCAGCTATTTCGAGCATCCGCTGCACTCTGTCCTCTTCCACTTCCACCCTGGCAGTGTAGACAAACTCAAGGAATGAGGCAAAATCAGCAACCTGGACCTCATTGAGGAACACATTGGTCCTGGGGCCATCCATGCCCTTCTCATTAAGGAACACCTCCTTGAAGAACTTGCTGGTTGCTGCCAGCACGGCCTTGTGAGCAACGAACTCGGCCCTGACGCCCTGGTACTCCACACTGACCGTCACGTCGCAGAGGTGGCCCAGGAGACGCAGCTGGTGCATTTCATTCAGCAGGTTGATAGGAGAGGACTTGGACTCCAGCAACACGGCGTTACTTTCCATCTTTCTTCTCTCTGTAAAAGGCTGTTGACAACACTGTGTGTTAGCTGTTTGCAGGAGGCTCATAAAACCCAGAGATTTCAGCAGCCAAAGTCACATCCAGACTTCTGAGAGTGCTTCACTTGACATTTAAGCACTAAAGACTTTAGAATCATAGAACCAACTGGGTTGGAAAGGCCCTTTAAGCTCATCCAGTCCAACCCTTACCCCAGCATTAACCCATGGCACTGAGGCCTCGTCTCCGTGGAGTGTGAACCCTTGCAGGGACGGTGACTGCAGCCCTGCCCTGGGCAGCCTGTTCCAATGCCTGAGCACCCTCTGGGGCAGGAATTGTTCCTCAGCTCCATCTAAACCTGCCCTGGGGCAGCTTGAGGCCGTTTCCTCTTCTCCCATCCCTTGTTCCTTGGGAGCAGAGCCCAGCCCCTCCTGGCTCCATCCTCCTGTCAGGCACTTGTAGGGAGCCATCAGGTCCCCCCTGAGCCTTCTCTTCTCCACACTGAACCCCCCAGCTCCCTCAGCCCTTCCCCATTACACTTGTGCTCCAGGCCCTGCACCAGCTCTGCTGCCCTTCTCTGTCCCTGCTCCAGCACCTCAATGTCTCTCTCGGAGTGAGGGAAAGCTCACTCAAAGTGCTTGAGCTTAAGAGAGCGCTGTGAGAAGCACAGGTTTCAAAAGCATCACCCTCAGCAGCTGTATCTCAAAGCACGCCGCCAGTAACACACACAGAGTTCTCTGAAGTTAATTTGAGTTTAAATCTCAACCCTAATTCTGCCTGAAACGCTATTAGAGCCTGTAATAGGGGCAGAGCAAACAGAGGAAGATCAAAGGAAATGTGCTCATTAAGGTGGAATGAAGAAATTATTCTCCCTCCTAATCAGGCAGTAAGAGAAAGGTGAGATTAAGTACAAGTTAACTGGGATCCTAAATAAACACTTCCTGCCACAGCCTTTGGAGATAAGCCTTTAAACAAGACTCAGATGAAATTCCACGTTTAACTGCCTCAAGCACAGCAGCCTGCACAATAGCCACAACTGGAAATGATAAAACTTCCTCAGGGTTTTCCTCTTGAAAACACTTCATCGCCCAACATGGCCAAAGCCTCTAAGTCTGGAGTGCCCATTTGCAGCCTCACAAGGGCTTCAGAGTCTCTGCTAGTGTTCAGGTTGTGTTATATTTCCCAGTAATGATTTAAACTGCTCCAAAGAGCTGAGTTTTTCTCTTTAAAATGTTTGATTCCAGAACAAACAGTATTTCTATGAGCTGAAGATGCTCCGAGCAACACCCCCCCCCCAGTCAGCAGAGCTTTACTGTGCTCCTAGCAACTACGTAGACATGTTTTGAATCTGAAGAGCTTGTTTCCACTTCCTAATAGTTAACTAAGGTTTGTCTTCTCTCTGCAGTCGACTTGAAGCCGACTTTATACATGGGACATGAACAATGTTGCTCAGAAATGGAAATCAATAGAAATGGAACAAGATTTATATTAATGTAAGAGTAAGGAAGCCATATTAAGCATGAAAGAGACATGAGAAATAACATTCATAGCATCAGGAAGAGATGCTATTTCTTCTGTTTTCACCCACTCCAGCAGCCCGAAAGCTGACTCTCATCCCAACACAATTTACTGTTAAAACTGTTTTGGGGAAGTATTTTGAAGGAACCATACAATGGAGGGTGACAAAACCGGAGGTCATTAGTAGCCAGGGAAAAGGAATGCAACATGGACTTGACACTACACAAGGCACAGAGCCAGAGGGAGCCCTGCCCCAAGCAGATCTGAGGGAAGCAGGATTATTTCCCCAGCCTCATGCAACAAGCAAGTGGGAGAACAGGGGACACAACCCACCACAGGCACCCAAACCCCTGCATTAGATTCTATAGAGAAGGACTCTCCTGGGAACCAAGAGATTCTCCTCTCTCCTGTATGCCAGCCTTTGGATCACCAGCTCAGTGAGCTGACTGGTAAAGTGCTAACATTACTCGAACAAACTTACTTCTGTTAACTTTACTCTAACAAACAGCTAAATCCCACTGCTACTGAGTTGCACTTACTCCATCCAGAACAAAAGACCCCAGAAGGGGGTAAGAATTGCCTGTGCTAGCTCAGAGCTCAATAAGCACCTCAAAACATTGTCCTCTTGCAGGCAAACCCCAGTGCTACACCTCAGTTTTGACAGAAATGAGGACACGATTCGACTCCTGACTGAAAGGCTGACTCTTATAAACACACATAAAAGGTAATGTTTAAACTTTACCTGTTCAACTTTGCTGTTTAAATGCTCCCACTTTTGCTGCACCCTGAATATTTGAGACTAAATTAAGCAAAGGCTTGGGCTAAGCTAAACAAGCTTTAAGTTCAGTTTAAGAATGATCTGAAAATGTAACTTTCCCTCCCCCAGCACAATTACTTTTCAACTACTTCTGTTATTTCACAACTATCCATCTATTTCCCACTTGAGCCCACAGCACAAGCTGGGGTCACGTGTAGATAAAGAGCGATCCCCAGCAGGAAACAAGAGCCCAAACCACAAACTTCTCCCTTTGGGGCGAACGGGCTCTCAACTGTCCCCTGTGAGCTGACCACAGGCACGAGTGTTAACAGCCACATTGTGCTGATCCCCTTTTCCTTAAGGCTGCAGAGCAGAAACCTCCTGTTCTTCCCACCAGAGTGTTTGCAGAAGCAAAGGCCACTGTGAAAACAGAGCCCTCGCTCCCATCCAGCTTCCCAGTTGGAGTATGGGAAGAGCATATTCCCTAAGGAACATGTACAGTAAGATCCAGTGTGTTGTGGTGGGTTTTACTCCTGTGGGAGGTATGCTGAGCTGCTGAGCACCGGGCTGGCAGGACATGGTCCACAGAAGCACAATATATTCATCTTTAAGAAGACAAAGGCTGAAAATCTGTGTCTGTATAAGCTCAGTCATGAAACACAACGAATGTGTCCTCTTCCAGAGGCAAAACTAGCTGAAAAGAGAGAAAAAGAGCCAGCTAGAGTTAACAGATGGTGGACCTCCAAGCTTGTCCCTTCTCCTGCACCAGCAATCCTGCAGTCTGTGAAGAGACATCCCTGCCAGGCACTGACCTCCCTCATTTAGGATCACTCCAGACACTGAGGCTACACTAACAGCACCACAACCACTGGTCAGCAGCAGGAGCAGTTCAGCCTGCGAAGGACAGCGCGCTGCAGCGAACACCCGGTGTGACTGTTCGATGACAGGCTAGAACACCCCATGAGGACCCTGACCCCAGACCAAGAGGCTGCTGCACGGGAGGAAGGGGCATTACCACATGGATCCCCACAGCTCGCTCCCTCCTCCTCCTCCTCAGCAAGCTTCTTCCTCGGCCTCCCCTACTTGCCACAGCCCGAAGCAACCCCACCATCACGTCTCCCCGGCCGAAAGAGCGCGCAGGAGCCCTGGGACGGGTAACGGGGCCGGGCGGTACCTGCAGACCCGCCGCTGAGGCGGATCCCCCGGGCCCGCTTCCCTTCCCCTTCAGAAAGGGCCCCGCAGCTCACGGGAACGTCGGGAGCCAGCCCCGCTACGTCCCCAGGCCGGACCGGCGGCGGGGCGGGCAGGCAGGGCATCACCGCGGGCACCGGAGGCGGAAAGGCCTCCGTGCGGGGGACCGGGACGAAGCAGCCACAGCTCCCGGGTGAGGACCGGCTGCAGCCGGGCGGGGAAGGAACCCCTGGGCCCACTCTCACCGGGTCCGGCCCGCACCCCCCGGACCCCCCGCACTCACCGGGCCGGGCCGGGCCGGGCCGGGCCGTGCCGCTCCCCAGGGCTCAGGCTGCAGGCGGCGGCCGGAAGCGCTGACGCGGGTACCCCCGCCCTGACAACGGCCGTTGGCGACGCGCAGGAAGTGGCGTCAAAGCTGCGCGACGGGCGTTGCTAGGCAACGCGGCCTAACGGCGGCCCCGCGGAACCTCCGGTTTTGGGGCTTCACCGTCCCGAATGAAGGAGTTTTCTGCTCAAAGCCACGGCCATGAATGAGTCACGGAAGGGGGGCGCGATGAGCGCGTCTTTATTCACATAAAAAAGGCAGATGTGTACAGCGACGGCGCCCAGGGCATTGGCACCGTCCCAGCCTTGGTTAAAACCCATAACTCCGTACAGACCCAAACCCAACTCTTCTAAGGGGAATTAGGGCCCGCTCCTCCGCCAGCTCCCCCACACAGCGCTGCAGAGCCCATGCGGCCACGGCAGCAAGCTTTTGAGGTCATTTAGTGCTAAAGAGGGTAAATTCCGTTATAAACATGAAAGGGCGGGAGCGGTGTCCTCTGTGTCACCAACACCCGGCGGCACCGGGTCCCCCTGCTGAAGAGCAGCGCTCTCTGGTTTATAGAGTTTACCTTGGTCAACTGACCAGACCTCCGGAGCACAGGCCTCACCCACAAAGGCCCCCGAGAACGGCTCTATTTTGGACCAGTTGTGGTCTTTTTTGGTCGTAAGATCTATCAAGAAGCTTCTCCAGTGAGCGCTGCGGTCATGAACCTAGGGAAATAAAAGGGGAACAATTAATGACAGTGAGTTTAATAACAAAACATTTCAACCAGTGCAAAATCGAATGGTGCTGGGATTAACACTGTGCGTGAATGAAAAGCTGAGCTCTGAATCATGGAATGGTTTTGGGTTGAAGGGACCTTAAAGCTCCTCCAGCTCCAACCCCTGCCACGGGCAGGGACCCCTTCCACTGGAGCAGCTTGCTCCAAGCCCCTGTGTCCAACCTGGCCTTGAACACTGCCAGGGATGGGGCAGCCACAGCTTCTCTGGGATTCCACCAGGAAGATTCCACCCTTTTAAGGAACGAATCCTTCCTCAGAGGTTTTCCAGGCTGGATTCGCCTTAGGAAGACATTACAAGTACTTGGGAGACGAGTGGTTTGACAGCCAGCAGTGGGAGCTGCTGTGCTGCTCATGGAGGAAAACTGCACATTCAAAAATGCAGCTTTAAAAGCTGTTTTTTTACAGCTCTCTATATTTTAAAAAGATGGTCAATCAATTCCTCAACCCCAAATTTCATCACCAGTGTGATGAAACCAGGGACTGTAGTGATAGGACAAGGGGTGATGGGTTCAAACTGAAACAGGGGAAGTTCAGGTTGGAGATAAGGCAGAAGCTCTTCCCTGGGAGGGTGCTGAGGCGCTGGCACAGGGTGCCCAGAGAAGCTGTGGCTGCCCCATCCCTGGCAGTGTTCAAGGCCAGGCTGGACACAGGGGCTTGGAGCAAGCTGCTCTAGTGGAAGGGGTCCCTGCCCGTGGCAGGGCTTGGAGCTGGAGGAGCTTTAAGGCCCCTTCAACCCAAACCATTCCATGATTCTATGATCCCTCCTTAAGGCAAAACCCTTCTCCCGGTAGTTAAGCATCACGACAGCAGCCTGCCCGCCACAGAGGCGCCGAGGGCCGCGTACCGAGACGTGTCTGCGCAGGGTGGACATGTCCGTGAAGGTCCTCTCGCAGGCTCGGCACTTGTAGGGCTTCTCGCCGGTGTGAATGCGCTGGTGGCGGCGCAGCGCGCCCTGCTGGGTGAACGCCTTCCCGCACTGCTCGCAGAAATAGGGGCGCGTCTCTGGAACAAGGGAAGAGCAGCGTTAGGAGGCAGCTCCTCCGGATTTCAACGGATAAAAAGCACGAAGAGCTTCTAAATGATCAATATTGATTCAATGGTGCGGATGGAAATGAGGCTGTGATCAATGGAAAGCATGAGAACAGCTCTCCCCATCTTACAAGGGCAACAGCAGGAATTCCAGCTGCTCCCTGCTCCATTCTTCCTCAGCACAAACCAGGCCTCTTGACAAGCATCATCCATACAAGCACAAGTGTGATGGGGAAGGGCTGAGGGACCTGGGGGGTTCAGTGTGGAGAAGAGAAGGCCCAGGGGGGACCTGATGGCTCCCTACAACTGCCTGACAGGAGGATGGAGCCAGGAGGGGCTGGGCTCTGCTCCCAAGGAACAAGGGATGGGACAAGAGGAACTGGCCTCAAGCTGCACCAGGGCAGGTTTAGATGGAGCTGAGGAACAATTCCTGCCCCAGAGGGTGCTCAGGCATTGGAACAGGCTGCCCAGGGCAGGGCTGCAGTCACCATCCCTGCAAGGGTTCACACCCCGTGGAAACGAGGCCTCAGTGCCATGGGTTAGTGGTGGCCTTGACAGTGTTGGGAATGGTTGGACTGGATGAGCTTGAAGGTCCTGGTTGATTTTATTATACATGTATGATATAAAAGCAGTTGTGGAATAAAATGTCACCATCCAAACTGGGAAGACTCAAGCTCCCAGTGCCATTTACCTTCCCATCCCTGAACCATTTGCTTCATTACCTGCATGGACGTTACTGTGCTGGGCCAGGGAGGCCCTCAGCCCAAATGTCTTCCCACACACCCCACACTTGTAGGGTTTGGCTCCCAGGTGGCATCTTTTATGGCACTTCAGGTATTCGTTGGTGGCAAAATGTTTTCCACACACGTCACATTTGAAGAGGCGCTCTCCTGAGGCACGAGGAAAAGACATTCTGAATTCCTGCAGCTGAGGTTAGTGCTTCAGAGCTGGGTTTTAAATGGCTTTCTATCCCTAGGTCCTTCTTCAAACGCCTACCAGTGATTTCCAGCGGCATAAAGGGAGGTGACGGGAGAAAAGAGATGGAAGGAACAGAAGTATTTACCACCTACCTGTGTGGGTCCTTTTGTGGCCAGTGAGTTTCCCTTTGTCAGCAAAGCAAGCCCCACAGTCCTCACAGATATATGGCTTTTCCCCTGTATGGGACCTACACGAAGAGAGACACAAGGGACAACAAATTAGCTCTTGTAACGTATTCTTAAAATACTCTATCTGAAATTGTATTCTGCACACTTCATTTTTTCAATGCAGTGGAAAAAAGCACAATCTGCTCACTCAGGAGATAGAATGTTTAAAACAAGGAGAGGTGCTATAATAAAGCACTAAAACTCCCACTTCAGTTTCACCTTTTCCTCACTCAGGCACTACAAACCCACCTCTCCCACAGGTTACACCTCACAGGATTGGCATCAGAAGGGAGGAAGCAGGGATGACAAGCTGCTGCTGTGCAAGAGACTGAATGCACTTCCAGACTGTCCCCAGCACAACGCCAGCAGCAGATCCCTTGTGAGACTGTGGGCCACGTTCTTGGCTCCTGTGATGCTGCAGCATCATGCCCTCCAGGCTGCAAACTCTAACTGGCAGGATACTCCCATTTTTTAGGCAAAAGGCACCAAGGAAAGTCAGGCAAACAGTGTTCCTGCACACATGCCGCATGCCTGACTTTAAACCAGCTCAAATCAGAGAAAGTCTGAGCCTACGTTTTGGTCTAACACTGTGCTGAGTCCCCTTATTCCAAGCCAAACAGCAGGATGTGCAAAAACACATCTCATTTGGAGTTGTCAGGCAAAACGCTGCTAATTGAGACAGCAGCTACCCAACACAAACCTCAAGGGTGACTGTTCTGTTGCAGTCACACTGTGTCTTACATGTGGCACATCTCTGATGTGTTCCAGCTGACAGATTAGCCAAACATTTCAGATGCCTACAAGAAACCTGGAGAGGGGCTTTGGACAAGGGCCTGTAGGGACAGGCCAAGGGGAATGGCTTGAACCTGCCAGAGGGGACACTGAGATGAGCTCTTAGGCAGAAGCTCTTCCCTGTGAGGGTGCTGAGGCGCTGGCACAGGGTGCCCAGAGAAGCTGTGGCTGCCCCATCCCTGGCAGTGTTCAAGGCCAGGTTGGACACAGGGGCTTGGAGCAAGCTGCTCTAGTGGAAGGGGTCCCTGGCTGTGGCAGGGGTTGGAGCTGGAGGAGCTTTAAGATCCCTTCAACCCAAACCATTCCATGATTCTATGTCCTGCTGGTCCTGAATCACCACTTTTTAAACCCCTTAGGAGACAGAAGCAAGCTGCAGACCCCACTGCATGGGGCCAGTCTCCAGTAACGGGATTTTCCTCCCCTAGCTGAGCCCTCCAACATTTAACCTCCTCTTCTAAACTGTGCTCCCCACTTGGAAAATGTTTGGGAGTTCTATGGGATGATTCACCCCCTCTTGGGAGAGGACTCAGTGAACAGAAACACCAACAGAGAGCAATTCATCCAGCCTAATGACTATAGAGGGAGTCCAGATGGGAAGACCAGCTTCTGTACTGCACACCACAAGTGAA